GAAGGAGGAAGAGGAGAAGAAGGTAGAGGAGGAAAAGGTGGAGGAAGAAAAGAAGGAGGAGAAGGTAGAGAAAGAAGAAGGAAAAAGAGAAGAAGGATAAAAAGGAGGAGAAGGTAGAGGAAGAGAAGGAGGAAGAGGAGGAGGAGAAACACAGAAAGGAATTAAGCAGAGTGAGCACATCTGGCCAAGTCTGTGCTTCTAACAGATGCTGGGCAAAATGAGGAGTTTGGGGGAAGCTAAAGCAGCCACTGGTGAGGAACAAGGTTGCTTGCTCAGGACTATGGCAGTGGAGATGGAAGCACAGTGGATCTTGAAGAGGAATCTTAGAAGGCTTGGGCTGGGGGGAAGGCAAAGTGCTTGCTGTACGAGCAAGAAGACCTGAGTTCAGGTCCTCAGAATCCACATAAATGCCAGACATGGTGGCTGCACCTGGAACCGTAGAGCTAGGGAGGTAAGGACAAAAACCCGCAAGGTGGGGAGCACTGGGGACAGAGTTGAATTCTGACCTCTACTGCATGCACAGCTCCACACATACGTGCACACGTGAGCACAGCGACACACACCAGAAAAGGAAAAGAAAACGCAAGATGGCTTAGCGACACGTCTCAATGTCAAAAGGAGGAAAAAGACAGGTGCTCGATTGCCCAGCTGCCTTTATCCTTTGGCTTTTAAGAGAATTTGAAAATGGCCGCCTTTCTAGGAGGCTGCAGCACCGGGACCACGTCTCCAGTCCACCCCCCAGGACAGGCACACCTGCAAGGCCCTCATCCAGACACTCCTACAAGAGGAACCCACCTCTTACACCGTGACTTTGGGCTCGCAGTGTGGGTGGGAATCCTGTGAGGGGTCACAGTGCCTGCTCAAGGATTAGGGCTCGCTTCAGCATTCAAGGTTTCCTTGTGCCCTTGCTAGCCATTAGTCTCTTCTTATTCACTGCCTTCTACCAAACAAACCTTGTGCGGAAAGACAATTAAAAATGAAACCCCTGAAAGCTAATGGTGCAAGACCGTGGAGCACTTAAACTAATGAACATCTGCAGGCAAAATGAAAGTAAATAGCAGAGGATGTGATTCCAGACTGTGCTCTGGGCTCGCCTAATAGTTTGTAAAGCATATAAACAAAGTGTCCCCCCCGTGTGGCAGAGTGGGGCCTGGGAGCTGGCTGTCAATTAATCAGCTTCTAACTCTGCAACACATGACAGGATGCGCATCCCTGTCCCCATCAGCTTAGCTCCTCATCTGAGGCTGAAGCGGAAGGCTCACCCCCGGAAGAACAGTGCTCAGCGGCCATCATCCACCCTCAGCTTTGCATCTCTGCTTAGCACCCCCAATACAAACCTGTGAGCTTCAGGGCTGAGCACAATCGGCCATTCACATTCCATCAGCCCCCTTTGGATCCAGGAGCCTCATCACCTGACCAGCCGCCTCCCTGAAGACAGGATTAACTCGGCCCTCTTCTCCTATGGCATTGTCATGGTAGCCACTATTTGGCCCAGGATGTATGCAGAAGGTGCTTATTACATATCTGATGGGTGAGAGATGAGCACGTTTGCTAGAAGGCTAGCATTCACCCCAGGCTAGTCATGCAAAGGTTCTGCCCAGTGAGGGGACTGGTCAAAAAAGAACCAGGTCAGAAGACAGGGGTGGATTCATCCCCAGATCCTGCCTCTCACTAGCATGGATTCATGAGTATTTGCCACTCTAAGTGGTGTTCTCACCCTAAATCTCTTTGGGAAAGAGGCTAAGAGAAAGAAGATCCCGTGGTTCCTCACACCATTAGAGAGGGGTCTGCAATGGAGAAGGCACAACAGGAGTGTGAGGTGGCTCCACAGGGAAGGGTGCTCACCAACTGAGCTCAATTCCTGGGTCCCACGTGCTGGGAGGCAGGAACCAGGCAGGGCAGTGGAGTGGATAGGGAAGAGGAATGAGCAACCATAAAGTCAGAGAAAAATGTCCCCTGGGCTGTGCTCTCTGCAGGTGGGAAATGGAGATGAGAGTGTACACTAAGAATGAGCAGGCCACATGAGTGGCCTGAGACAAAGCAACAGGAAATAGGAGAGCCTGTGGGCTGCAGGGGATGATGCTATTCTCTGCCTGAGGCATCATGGTCACAAGACTGAAAAAGATGCCCAAGCAAAGACAACAGAACGCACCCACGGCCCGAAGGCTGAGTGCTGATCTCTGGAGATCGTTATTCTAAGACTAGCTTTTTATTCTGCTGCTGTGACATCCGGGACCTTGCTGACCCTGAGGAGGCTGCTCCTCCCAGAGCTAGCCAATTTCTAGGCCAGAAGCAGCTGGGCTGTACGCTTCATGCACAGAGCAACCATGTTAGAGGACACCAACTCTACTAAACCATCCTTACGCTCCCTCACTCTGGGCCGCTGTCCACACCCGCAGTGCCCCACAGCCAGGTACAAGAGAACTGGGCACAGTCATTTTCAAGAGCTTAGTAAAAATGTGCAGATTGGCCAATCCCAAACACCCTGGCCTTGCTTGCCTTACTCAGGAAATGACAGCGAAGGCTCATTCCACGACCCCCTCATTCTGCCTCCTGGTGGCAGTCTTGGGCATCCGCCGTGACCATGTGTCCCTCCTCACAGGAACTTCAAGCAACCAAATCTCTTCACCAGTAACTGCCTTCTGGCTTGTTGGCCTCCCTAGGCCTTAGTAAGAACTACATCTATAGACGTCAATGGTGTGTGAATTGTCACAGTTGTTTATCTACCTGCCCTCCCCCCCCCCGCGCTTCAACCTTGGCATCTAACAATCCCCAGCGTGCTGATGGCCTAGTGTAAATACTGATCAATGGATGGATGGACGGTCAGATGATGGGTGGATGGGTGGGCGAGGAGACAGATGATGGATGGATAAATGAAGGGTGGGAGAGTGGATGATGAGGATGAGGGATGATGGTGAGTGGATAGACAGATGTTGACGGATGATGGATGAGTGGGTGGATATAGGATAAAAGGATAGAAGCATTTATTTGGCTCCATGGATCTACATTTTACTCTCACTGCAATCACTTCCTCGGGTACCAAATTCTGTATGTACCTAAGTTTGGTGTAAATTCTTAGCGGTCAAGAAGTAAGGAGAGAGGAATGAGGGAAGGTAATTTTCTTCATATGATCAGTCTACGGGTTCTTTTTGGTTATTCCTTTTATCCCATTTAGTGTCTTCTAAAACAGTCTCTGAACCAGTGGTGTAAATGGAAAAGTCAGAGGGAGGCCTCCAGCTACTCTGGTCCCTCCCCGTGGTGGGCTTTCTGACGGATCTGCAATGATGCAGAGGGTCCATCCGCATCCCCCTGGCCACAAGCAAAGGAGTCGGAGGACCTGCGTTGTTAGCCTTCACTCTTTAAAACGCACATCTTTACCCTGCGTGCAGTGAGAATGTGGCTCTGGTAACAGTGTCCTTGGGCATCACTATGGTATCACCATCCAGTCCCAGGCTCCAGAGAGGCCGAGAGAAGACACCCACAGGAGGCATGTGCCCAGGGGGTGTGCAACGTCCTGGGTTTGCAGTTGCCAGCAGATGCTCAGTGGCTGCTCCATCGTCATCAGGGAGCATCTCCCCAAAGGCCATCCCTCCTCCAGGACCAAGAGGAAAGGACAGGAAGCAGCGAGTGAACAAGGAGCCCAGATAGGGCATGTTTACCAGAGGGTCATCCTCAGGGCATCACCGTTAATGGTTTGTCAGAGACGCCAGGCCACTATAATTCTTTTGGGTTTTTTTTTTAATACTTTTTTTTTTCCTTTTTAAAGATTTGTTTTATTTTATGGGTATGAGTGTTTTGCCCTCAAGGATTTAGGTGCACCACACGCTTGCAGTTCCCGCAGAGGCCAGAAGAGGGCACTGGATCGCTTGCAACTGGAGTTATGAGTTAGCTTGTGGATGTTGGGAACTGCACCTAGGTCCTTTGGAAGAGCAGCAAATGCTCTAAACCAAGCTATCTCTCCAGCTCTTGATTGGTTTGCGAGACAGGTTCTCTCTACATATCCATGGCTAGCCTGAACTTTATATGTAGGCCAGGCATACATATAGAACTCACTGAGATCTACCTTCCTCTGCCTCCCAAGAGCTGGGATTACAACACGCCTGGCTATTACCACGTTAAAATTTATGGCACCTTGTCTCTCAAGTGTCCTGGTTGAAGTGACAAGTCCCATAGCCTCCTCAACAGCAGGGGATTTTGCAAATGATAGAGCTTGAGTCAGGAGGCCAAGCAGCAGCAGAGGCCTATTGTTTTGTGGGTATAAATGAGAGCTAAAGCCAATCCTGATCTGGGGACCCCATGGGCTCCACTGTAAAAGAGAAGTGACCTAGGGTGGCTAGAACCCACAGGTCATTCCCAGGCTCTCTGCCCAGCTGCATCGGCTCCTTTATAAGTAGACCAGACTAGCCTTGAACTTGAACCTATGTAGACAGCACTTCTTTCCCCTCACTGGAATCTCAAGCCAGAGTTCACAGAAGGAGGAAGGCAGCGAAGGGAAAGGACATCCCATCCACACCATCCTCCGCACGTATCTTGTGCTAAGGTCCCATCAGATACCCCTGGGAGCAGCCACCACCCACGGACCATTTCTCTTCGGTTTCTCCCCTGGCTGAGACAGTGTTTCTGTGGAGACAGTCTTTAACATGTGTTATGTGAAATGTCATGCATTAAGGGACTGGGACCCGCACGAGAGAAAGAACAGCCCTTTGACCCCCCAGAGTCAGAGATTCTCTTCGGACAGCACTGAACTTCTCTTGAGAACTATACAGCCCCAAAGCAATCAGCAAACAATACTCACCACCCTGTGTTTGTCAGACCAACTTGTGCTTTGGAGGAGGATGGTCTGTGGACATACACAGCACGGGCTGGAAGGGCAGGGCGAAGGCTTACCAAGTAAAAGTGGCTAAAGGCTTTACCTGTGGCCTCATGGGAAGTTTAATCAAATTTAAATGCCCTGAGCATCCAGTGTTGGAGGAATTGCATTTGTTTTGTGAACTAAAACCTCAAAGCTACTTTTTTTTTTAATGGAAGATTAGCCGACATGCAAAAGTTACTGGTCAAACAGTTAATAAAGTACACACATCCCCAGGGAAGATCTTGCACACTTCAGTCCTCAAATATGGCAAAGCAATGACACCCTGCACAGGTCCGAGTCTACCCCTCTGCTCCATGGGGTGAAGGCAGGCCTCAGCTCTTGGAGGCTCATGTGTTGTAAATTCTGGAAGCGCGCTTAGCTGCGGTTTGAGCGTCAGGAGGCTCCTCTTCCTCTTCCTCGGTCCGCTTGTGCTTCAAAAACAAGTCAGACTTCAGGAAACGGCTGTAGCTGTCATACTTCATGAGATTGAAGATCTAAACAGGAAAGAGAAGATTCTGATGGCTACCATCAAAGAATGGGCCAAAGACTATCTCACACACACACACACACACACACACACACACGCCGCGCTAATGTAGGACCCATGAGATGGCTCCTGAGTTCAATCCTCGGGACCCACAGTAGAAAGAGAGAGAACTCATTTCCGAAAGGTGTCCTCTTTCTGACCTCCACACATGTGCCTCGGCATGCACATGCTCACACTGACACACAAAGCACACACAGATAATAACAGCAAGAAGGAGGAGCAACAATGATGACGCTGGTGCCATAAATTTTAACGTGAAATTTTAAGTGGGACAAGGCACACTTACTGGGCAGTTTTGGTCATTGTGTGAAATAATCTCAGTGGACTCTGTAGACTAGAGAATCACGTGCTCAAATGCATTTTTGTTTTCCATGGAGGTACAGATGCACGCAGCCTGAGTGATACCGTTGCCTTGACTGGCCTGTTAAGAATCTTCTCTGCCTGGGTCGGGTGGCATATGCCTGTAATTCCAGCCCTCAGAAGTTCAAGTTCAGCCTGAGCTACATAGTGAGCGTGAGTTCAGCCTGAGCTAAGAAACCTTGTCTCAGAAAACAAAAACAAAAACCAACTTTTAAAAAGCCTGACCCAGTCAGGCCGATCTTTGTGAGTTCAAGGCCAGCCTGGTCTACAAAGCGAGTCCAGGACAGCCAAGGCTACACAGAGACACCCTGTCTCAAAAAACAAAAACAAAGACAAACAAACAAAATAAGAGCCAGTAAGTCGGCTTTGGAGACCTCAACCCTATGATGATGCCAAGAGACAAGGAGAGTGTATCCAAGGCAGAAGAGGGAACACACGCAGTCTCCAGCCACAGGACCAGGTCTCAGTTGAAAAGAACGGAAGTGAGCAGCAGGGCAGATCCCTGCACAGCCAGACAGGCCGAGATCTCTAGAAATGAGTGATTGTGAGGTGCTTCCGGCCGAGGAGGACGCCCGGTGAGGTCTTGGCACTAAAGAGCACCACTCAGGCTCTTCTGTGTGGGCACAGAAGCCTCCTGCCTCTCTAAGCCACCACCTCTGCCTCTGTGTCTTTCATTCAGATTAAGAGCCACAAGGCACACACCAGCTTGCCTGCTGATACAGCACGAGCTCATGTCTGGCTGAGTGAAAAGTTCCAAAAAGCCACTCACTGGTGGGCGGGGTTGTCAAGTGGGTGGTAAAATCCTGACATCTTTTAAAACTACTTTCTCCCGATACACACAGGCCCTCAGGCCTCAGGACATCTGCTTGGGAGATGGTCAGCTCCTCCAGAAAGGATGGGAATCTTCCATCTTTCACCTTCGTGTTCCCAGGAGGGCTGCAGGAGAACCAAACCATCCATTTGGCAGAGACCAAACCCAGGAAACATCTGGCACATTGAGCTGTTCACAAACTGTTCAAACCTGTGCCTTCCATTCCCCTGGGGCCACGCCCATCTCACCGAAGCTTTGGAGTACTCACCTCTTTTGTATCAATTTTGTAATCTTAGAGGTGAGTATAACTTGCTGACATTTGTACAAACCACTTTTTAAGAAAATATAACATCCCAGAAATTAAAAAAAGAAAAAAAAAAATCAGTAGCAGCAGGGTGAGGAGGCTGGGAATAAGAGACCCCACTCTCCTCTCTAGGCTTCCCACAAATGTGCTAAGCAGATAACCTTCCTGGTCATCCTCCAGCCCTTCAAGTACATGAACCCCCGAGGGGATCTTACATGTGCCCGCCTGGCTCAGAATCCAGAATAAATGCTCCAGGTTTGACTAATGGAGCCAGCTCTACGAAGGAAGACCTTCCCTGGCATGCAGTCCCGTACCCGGGCACTTCCCCAGGTGCCTGGCCATGCAGCCCCCCCCCATCCCTGTCACTTCCCTGGGTCCCTAGCAAACCCCACCAGCACCAGTAGCAAGGGTAGGGCCTCTCCTCTGAAGTCTCTGTGGTGGGAGAGGAGTATCCTGTTTGCTTTCTGTGCCTCTGAGGCACACACCTCAGAGAGAAGGGAGGGGAGTGTTGGGGTACCCAGGGTTAGTGGAGGCAGGAGACTGCTGCTTCTCTTGGAGCTGGTGCTGCAGAGCCCCAGCGGCTCTGCTTTCCTCTGCCAGCTCAGCTCTTGGGTGGAACTATTTCACTTTTTTTTTTTTTTAAGTATTTATGGGCTGGAGAGATGGCTGAGCAACTACAAGCACTTGTTGCTCTTGCAGAGGGTCCAGGTTTGATTCCCAGGACCCACGTGGTAACTCCCACTGGAAGTACCATCTCTAACTCCAGTTCCAGGGAATCAGATGCTTTCCTCTGACCCCTGGGGACACCGGGACACCAGGCATGCACACGGTATCTACACATACACACATGCAGGCAAAATACTCACACACATGAAATTATGAAATAAATACATATTTTAAGAAGCGTTTGTCTTATTGGGGTAGCCTGGGGGGCGGGGAGAATGGGGGTATGGGTACACATGTACTTATGTCAGAGGTCAACTTTTGGGAACTGGTTCTCTTCTTCCACCACAGGATCCAAGGGCCAAACTCGGGTTTGTGTGCCCTTACCTGCTGGGTTATCTTGCTGGCTCTGCCACAAACTATTAACAAGGACATGGGGCCAGTTCCCTGTGGTGTGCAGGTGTGAAATGCCCAGCCGGCCACAAGTCCTCAGGCTATGGTTTCCAGATGTCTGGCACCCATCACCTCTAGGTGCGGGAGGGACTAGGAAGCAGCTGTGGGCAGCAGGCCTAGCAGGACTTTTCCCTGGATGTCCACAGCCCTGTGGCTCTGCACGGGATCCAGAGGCCAGCTCCCCACTGCCACAGGCAAAGGCCTCCTGGCATAAGTGTGTGTGGCCCCAGGAGTCTCCACCACAGAGTCCCTCAGGAGCGATGTGCAACAGGGCGACAGAGAGCATGCAGCTGGCTACAGATCCTTTGCAAGCTACTGACCACAGCCTCTCACAGGGCAAATGGCCATGAAGGGGCCTAGCATGTGTTTCCCATGTGTTCAGCAGACACTCAGGCGAGAACCAACACTGCTGAGAGGTCTGTGACCACACACTCCAGACATCCGACAGAGCATTCTCCCACGAAACTATCACAAGGCCCTGGAGACTGTGGTTTCCTGGAGGAGGAAAGCAGACCTCGAGGCTAGTGCTCCGCTGGATGGTGAGGGCTACTCTGTCTGGTATAACAGAACCAAAGACGACTTTCCCTCATAGTTCCCGAGGCCAGAATCCGAGGTCAAGCTACCAGCAGGCCGACTTCTGTGTCACATGGTCATCCCCCGTATCCGTCTTATAAGAACACACATCAGGAGCCAGCAAGATGGCCCAGCAGGTGAGGGCGCTTGCCAGGACAGTCTGGTAACCAGAGTTTGATTTCCACAACTCATGTGAACATGGAAGGAGAGAAAAACTCCTCAAAGTTGTCCTCTGACCTCCACATGCATGTTAACACACGAATACACACACACACACACACACAGACACACACACACACACACTTACAAACAAAACAAAGAAACCACTTGTCCCTTTGGATCAGGGCCCACCCGCATGGCCTTATTTAACTTAATTATCCTTTCTAAGCTCCCATCTCCAGATGCAGCCACATTCTGGAGGACTGTGAGTTACGATCTCAACACCTGCAGTGGGGCAGGGATAGGAGGCACAACCCAGCCCCTAGCTGAGAGCAAGGGGCAGAAGGGAGGCCAAGCCTGGCAGGCCAGCTCTCTGTCCCACACACCTCACCACCCGGGTGACAGAGCGTTATGCAGTCAGAGTTAAACATGGAAACTTGCCCATAAGCATTAAATGATTGAATATTTAATTTCAAAAATGTACTGAGTTTTAAACAGTGATCTCAAATATGTTAGAGGGAAAGGAATAGTCATAAAGGTTAGCAGCAGGCTGGATAGTGTCTTCAAAACACATATCCACCTAGAACCTCAAAACACGGCTTTATTTAAACATACACCTGCTGATCTATCAAGCTGAAATCACCCTAGAGGGTAGGGGGACCCCGATCCAAAGACTAGTGTGTTTCTCCAAAGAGGGTAAGACATGCAGAGACCTAGAAAGAAGGAAGCCATCTGACAGCAGTGACAGGGGTGACACGGCCATAGCCCACGGATCCCAAGGAAGACAAACAGCAGACCAGAGCTGGGTCTACGGCAAGTTCCTCTTCTAGACCCTTTGTCAGGAGCCCAGACCCTCTCCACCCCCGATTTCAGGTTCTGAGTCTCCTGACTGTCCAAGAAGATTTTGCTGGGGCTGGAGTAATGGCTCAGTGGTTAAGAGCGCTGGCTGCTCTTCCAAAGGACCTGGGTTCAATTCCCAGCACCCACATGGTAGCTCACAACTGTCTATACCTCCCAATTCTAAGGGATCTGACACCTTCACACTAATGCACATAAAATTAAATAAATTATTTTAAGAAGATTTTGCTGTTTGAAGACATGTGAGACTGACAAGCTAGGAAACTGCTACAACAGAAGCACAGGTTGTGAGCCCCATGGTTCTGAAGGCCTGCAGTTCAAGGTCAAGGTGCTAGTGAGTCTCAACTAGCTGCCTCAGGCTCTTAGCTGATTCCATAAAACCAGGCCTCTGACAGGCAAACTGACTGGACAGTATGGTCGGAATCCTAGGGAAGAGGAGAAAATGGAAACAACTGGGCCAGAGTGAGGAAGAGGCTGAAGCGGCCACGAAGGCCTCTTAAAGCATAAGAAGATGATTGTCTCCAATGGGAGGCAAAAGCAGAAAATCTTTGAGTAGGCATCTGGGCTGCTTCCTGCCTCTCCCACCCCTCTCAGAACAGATGTGGCTTAGCAAGGCCCCATACCTGCAAGCTGGCATGATAAACTGTTTAGCCCATTGCCTGGGATCCCCTGATGCAGACTGGGAGGAAAGAGCGATGGTGCGTCCTGTGCCTGTGGAATTGTGCCCAGTGCCCTGCCTTCCGGTGCAGGGTCCCTGCCTCACCCA